ATGACTGGATCAAGAAGATGTGGTACATATATACCATGGAATATTACTCAGCATTCAAAAAAGATAAACACATGCAATTTGCAGCAACATGGATGGCGCTGGAAGGGATCATGCTCAGTGAAATAAGCCAAAAAGAAAAAGAAAAATACCAGATGGTCTCACTCATAGCAGGAATCTAGAAAACTTTAACAAGGGACCAGGAAAATGAATAACTATAAGAAAGTGAAAATCAAAATCAACAAAAAACTATGAACCAGAGACACTTTTTGGGGGGTGGGGGCGGGAGGGGAGGGATTGGGGTCAGAATGGGGAGATTGCAATTGTATGGGGAATATAAAAATAAAATTTATTAATTAAAAAAAAGAATTACTCTATTTAAGCAATTTTAACTGCAACTTTAAGTGCAAATATACTGGGAAGAGAAATTAAGCAATGCAAACACATTGCATTATAATAAATAATGCAAACACTGTACTACTTATCAGCTCAAGAAATATCACATATATTTTCTGCTATGTACTAGAAAATAAAATCACTTATTTTTTCATTATCAATTACCTTTAACCTTAGGGACAGCACATATACTCCAAGGAAATCCCCACCATGCTTATGCAATAGTTTCTATGGTATAGATTGATACATACATATTACTTATTACAAATCATTAGGAACATACGATCTAACTTTGTCCAATAGGAGAGAATTTTTTTTTTAATTCTTTCATATCCTGTGCTGCTCCCTAACTGAACACCTTCAACTCACCATAGCCTGGAATTTCATCTAGAACAGAACAATCCTCAATTCTGCTCCACCCCCAACCCCACCCCACCCCCAGGGAAATTTAACAGTGTCTGTAAATATTTTTAGTTGTCACAATTTGGGGGGAGAAGGGTAGATGCTTCCAGCATCAAGTTGGTAAAGGCCAGGGATGCTGTTAAGCACCCAGGATTATCCAGCCCCAAAGTGCAGAGTTGAAAGGTTGAGGTACCCTGGTCTAGAAGCCTCAACATGCCAACCAGCCAGATATCTATGCAGGTTCCAGAAAAAATGCTAAGAGTGAGCAAAAACTTCTCATGGAACACATAAAAACACAACTTTTAGGACAAAAGGAAACCTTAAATAGAGGTAAATCACAGATCAGCTTGATGATATTAAGTGATTGAGTTTTTGATTCTTCTTTCTTTGACCCAAGTGAGGCACAGCGATCATGATGATGGTGATTTCTAGGCACTGGGGTTCACTTAGATTTCTCTACTGAGCTGCAGTGAATATACGGCATGATCATCCTCTTGGGTGTTCAACATAATGATTTGATGTATTGTGATATATATTTGTATATATTGTGACCCCTCCCATGACTCTTGTCAGCATCCATCACCACACAAAGCTGTCATTTGCTCTCTTGTGAGACCTACTCCCTTAGCAGTTTTCACATACATGATACAGATTTATGAGCTATGGCTGCCAAGCTGTGCACGACATCCATTTATTTTGTAACTGGAAATTTGTACCTGAGATTCTCTTTCCCCATTTCACCCATTTCTCTCTTAATGGCTCTGGCAACCACCAAAATGTGCTGTGAATCTGTGAGGGCAGGTTATTGGTGTTTTTTTTTTTTTTTAAATGATATGAGGCGAGATGAGCTTCTCATTAATTATAGAGATGGATAGATAGACAGACGGGGTGGGGAGAGGAGGAAGAGAGAGGGAGGTAGGTAGATAGATAGATGATAGGTAGATGCTGACGTTTGTTTGGTTTTTTATCAGATTCCACACCTATAATTTATTATATGAGATAATTTAGTCATAGGTAGTAGACAAAGAACATCAAAACAGAAATAGGGCCAAGAGAAGTTTGCAAATTCTGCTTTTGTGTGTGCGCTAGAGCAACACCATGGCTTACCAGGGTGGACTGTGTCATGTTGGAGGTCCTGACATTGCTGCTCCCACCCCCGTCTTCCTGCTTGGCTGGCTGGCTGCCATGGGGGCATCACGGACCCTCCTTAAGGCTTAGTGCATTTGCAAAACAAGGGTATGGTCATACTACCTGTAGAGTTGAGTAGGACGTAGCATATATAAAATACCTAGTTGGCTCTTGGCCCACAGTAAGTGCTGTGACAACAACAATAATAACGAGAATGGGGACTAAATAAATTGATGACATTGATGATGATGATGATAATGATGACAATGACAACTGGATTTGGGTTCCAGTGATGTGAGTTCCAGTCCTGGCTGTTACTTACCAACCCAAAAACCCAGCAGTCCCCACTGGCACGTCCGTTAAAACCTCTCAGGTCACTGGGAAAAGTGATTGACAGCTGCCTTGTACCTGTGAGGGTGGGAGCGAGATGGATTTGGCTTGCAGAGCTACAGAGACACAAGCTGTCCTCTCTGGGAGGGTTTATCTTTCCCTGAGCCCTGATGGCTTGTGGTGTTTTACCTGATAGTATGTCTTCCTCAAGGACAGTGCCTTAGATAAAAGGAAGTGAGTCAGAAGGAAAAGTCAGTTAGGAGGACTTCAGCCACCTGCTAGAAAAGTCATGAATCAGAATGGAATCAAAAGCTCCTGAACAAGGTTAAAATACAGATTTGAAAGGCTTGGCAATTCCCTCCACCCTCTTGTCCTTGGGTTTTCCCAGTTGCCGCTCTGGAGAGAGCGGTGGCAAACCCTTCAATGCAAGTAGGGCCTGAGGGCCTGTCTGGGGAGAGACAGGTCCCTCTCCGTAGCCCATTGTGAGAAAGAATACAAGGTGCCTGGGGGGCAAGTATCTAGAAAGGGTGAAGCCACCGCTCCATGCAGAGAGGACTACAGACAGTGCCCCCAAAGCCAGTGCCCCGAGAAAAGGAGAATGGGGGAAGCACTTCAGGAGGAAGGTCACTAGGAAGCAGCACTGAGGGACAGAAAAGCAAAATGCCCCCATCACTGGGGACCTGCTGCTGGGTCTGAGGAGGCAAGCACCAGGAACTCGCTGCAGCAGCATCCTTAGCTCCCTGACCCACTGGGGCTCAGATCTGAAATGAGTTTGGAGTAGGAAGCCTACAGCCAGCCGAGTGCACAGAGCAGAGTGAAGCACAGCTTAATCAGGGCCAGGAAGGCAGCTGACAAATTACAGTATGATTTGTCATCATCTCAGAAACCGGCAAGTGTTTGTCCCTGAAAGAATCGATACCTGGAGGGAAAAGGGCTGTATTTTTAGAAACTGTTGGATGGGTAATTTATTTCAAGTGAGTAGAGAGTTTATTTATGTTGGCGCCTCCACAGATCCAATGGACAGTAGATTTGCTATCATTTCTTATAATCAATTTACCCTTTTGAACAGCTGTACCTTGAGGTGACTGATGATAAATTCACTCCCCAGGTAAAAGTTATTCTCAGGAAGTCACTGCAGCCCCACCCTTAGCACCCCTTCCTTCTGCTTATCTTGCATGATCCACCTTTCAAAGCTTCTCCACCTGGATTCCATCTTCCAGGGCACTGATGAGATGTTTAGGGGAGAGGGTGTGAACCCCATTCTATAGGTGAGGAAGCTGAAACTCAAGGGTTGAACATGGTAAAAATCAAAGTAGGGTAGAATTAGGAAGATAAATCTCTACCCTCCCCACCATTGGACTACAACCTATCATACAACTAAAATACCCAATAAAAGAGGAAGGGTGGGAAAAGGATGATTCTAAAGACTTGGCTACGAGAATGTTCCCTGGGGCTGTGGCTGTGCAAGTTGAGTAGAGGGTCTCTGGGCCGGCCATGGCAGCCAGTAACCCTCTGACACCCAGCTGTCCCCCTTCTTGAGAGGGATAATTGAGAAGCTCCTATTTTATGAAATAATTGTGAGCTTGAAAGTAAATAATACACATAAAGTTCTCATTACAACACCTGGCAGAAAGAAGAATCCTGTAAATGCTATTTATTTTGTTTTATTAGTGACTATTTTCTCAGCATTTTTTACAAGAGTAAAACATATAGAAACAATGTCAATGTTCATTAGTAAAATGATTTGATGAAATCTGGTGGCATTCATGCAGCAGGTTTCTAGCCTAGTGTTAATAAAGTGATGGAAGAATTTGGTAACATGGACCTCCCTGGTGGCACAAGGTGTTAAAGATGCAGCACTATGAAGCTATCCACAGCCTCTGCAGCACAAGTTCAATCCCCAGCCAGCAAGCTACCCACATGGTGCACCAGACCTCTCCTGCCTTGCCCGCTGCTCCCCTCAGTAGTGTATTTCAGTCAATCCGTATGTTCTGTTCCCCCCTCTGTCTCTGGTGAATCCACTCACCACCCCCACTCCTCTGGCCTGTACCCTAGTTCCTGTATGTGTAAATAAATATATCTTTAAAAAAAAAGAATTTATAACATGCAAAAATGTTCAAGATAGATGAACACAAAATCTCGGTTTAGAAAGGCATTTGTATAGAAGTTTAGATATACAGAACTACATGGATATGTGTCTATATATTTAAAACTGGACATAGATACACAAGAACATTAATTCCATCTATCTCTAAATGGTGTACCTTACAATCCCTTCTTTTTTGATCATCTATTTTTGTGCTGCCCAACTAAATTTACGTAAGTTCAATTAAAATGAACAAAACTTTTAAAGCAGGTCATAGTCGTACCACCACATTTCAGTAGCCACGTGCAATTCACGGCTTCCATGTTGGACAAACCATATTGGGCATGGTGAGGCTTCCATCATGGCAGTAAGGCCTAGTGTGCAGCACTAGTCCTGAGACTCCAACCAGGTCTTCCAGAGAAATGCTATCGGGACAGACCCACCTCCAACCTGCATCCAGCTTTCCTTTTACGTGGACGTTTTCCTCCTTAATGAGGAATTAGCTTTTCCTTGTACAGCATTACAACCATCACAATATGACAAAGCAGGGATTACCAAATTTGCAATGGTTCTAACAGTGATTAATGTTTCCCATGATCCTCTTAGAACAGCTCCTTCTGACTTAAACTCACAGTGTCCTCTCTCTCTCTCTCTCTCACAGAATGGGCAGTTCCACCCAGAACACTTCTGCAACACCATCGTGTGTGAGAAACCCAACAACCACCTCAGCAAATTTAAGGGATATATGTAAGTATCTGATGTCCAAGCGCCGCTGGTAAATACAGTCTCTAAAAAAAAAAAAAAAAAAAAAAATAGTTTTTCTTGAAAAGGACAGCCAGACCCTGAAGAATTTTCTTTCTTTTTATCACCAAGAAGGGCTAGAGAAACCTAAGTAACTTAGAAAACTTTTCCCATTCTTTTTTTTTTTTTTTTAAGCTGTGGCCCTTAACTTTCAGGGTTAAAATTCACTGATGGGTTTTTTTAGAACTCTGGTGAAATAAAATCAAAATCAAGACCACACTCTTATTCAGGGGAGGCAAGTATGATTTAATTAAGATCAGTTTTCTAAAAGAGCCTGTATTGCATTGTAGATAAGAACAGGGACTTTGGAGTTTGGCAGACCTGGTTTTGAAACCACTTAAAAGCTGTGTGACCTTGGGTAAATTAATTAACCTATCTGAACCTTGGTGTCTAGCTCTATAAAAGAATGAGTTTGATATCTACATCATAAAATTTTCCTTTCCTAAGAATAATTTGTTTATCATATGCAAAGCCCTTAACACAGCAACTGGCGCAAATAAATTCTCCGTTCATGGTGACAGCTGATGTTGTAATTATTACTATTTTGTCTGCCCTTATCTTAGTGGTTTTTCTTTTTCCTAGAACCTGCCTTTTCCCTTCCATGTCCCTCTTTGCCTTCTTTTTGATTATAGTCTCTCCCAGCAGTCACATCTACTTTTAATACTGGCCTCCATGAGAATGAATCCCATCTGTGTCTTTGAACTACAGATCTCCACATCCAATTACCTGCCAGAGATCTTTTTTTCCCACTAGAATCCTTTTATTAATAAGAAAACTCTAACGGGATGGCAGAAATACTCACCCACTATTGTAACTATTGTTATTCCTCAACATTGGTTCAGTCTGAGAATATCCCTGTACTTCTGGTTCCACATTAGACAAAATAAGATCAAAAAGAACAACAGTAACAGGTGTGAATAAGCGCCCTCTCCAAGTACTCCTGACACTGCTCAGAGGACTTAAACATCATGTCTTGTCATCTTCACAACAACCCAGGGAAGTGAGTAAGGTGATACCCACTGTCTCCATGAAGATTCTCCCAAAGGCACACAGTAGCTTCAGGACAAAACCGGGACATAACTTCAGTGCTCTTTCCTCCAACTGGAGCATTGTCACACATACAGAGCTCCGCTGGGTTAGGGCAGCTTTTCGGGAAGACTCACGGGGCTGGAGTGAGGTTTGAGAGGCCCCTTGGTTGGGAGGTGGACCTACTTTCCCTCCATGTGCAGGCTCTCAGGAAGAGCAATATCAAGGGAGAGGATCAGAACCATGCAATTGGGCATTGAATGTGAAACAATGCAAAAAGCAGCTTTTGAAGGAGAATTACCTGTAAAATGCACAAGAGAGCAGGCAGATTGGCAGGCAGTGAAGGGCAGGAATTCCTGGAGAAAGAATTTTATTTCTGGCATCTGGCAAGGCAGGGCTTGCCACCTTGCCAGTAAGGACTCCAGGCCTGGTGCCCAAGGTTTGTGGATTTGGTTCATCTCCAAATTTGGTTTATCATTCATGCAGTCAGTCATGAACAACTCCCTTAGCTAGAACAACCTCATTCCATTTATGATCCTTTCTCCCCCAAATAGCTATGCCAGTGTTTCAGAGCTTTCCATATGACTCTACCCCCCATCTCAGACCAAATTCCCAGTCCCCAGAAGCCTCCAGATGCCCTCCCCTTCTTGAATGCCAGCCCTGGAGGCCAGTCTTTCCCCACCTGCCCGGATCTTAGGGATGAGCAAAAAGGCCGGCGGATCAGCCCAGTAGCCGACCCATGGCCGGTCACCCCTGCACACCCTGAAAATGTCCACAGAGGGTCTGTATCCTCTTCCTCAGTAAACCCCTGCGTCTCACGCCTCCATAGACTTCTCAGAAGCTTCTTTGGGTTCCCTGAATTTAGGACTTGTGTGGTCACTAAAAAAGGAACAGGTCAGCTAGAAAAGGAACAACTTTTAATAAACCTCCCAGAATGCACAAGGCAGCCTCAGGACAAAGAATGATCCCAGCCCAAATATCCAGAGTCAGGTTGAGAAATACCCCTCCAGGGTCAGTTAAATAAAGCATCCTTGTAAACAAGAATAGGACAGCATCTAGCTAATCCTTTTCTACCATCCAGTGAAAAAAAGTAACTTTATGACAGGAGAAGTAGAAGCTGCTATCATATGTTATCACCTCAGAGAATCATAAAAATGGTCTTTAAGCCACTAGCTAGTGATGGTGAATTACTCAAGACTCCAGCTCACTATTCTACCAACAGCCATCCCCCACCTGATAAAGAGGTATGTCCCTAACTTCAGCCATTGTGAGACCATTTTTAAGATTTGTATCAGATTCAAGAACATCAATGCTTAAACTTTACTTTTTTCTTAATTGATTTCAAAAAGAAAATTCCTATCCCTGGCCCAAGGGAAAGCAAATATCACCTGCCCTACATAAAGGTAATGTTGAAATTAAGAAAATGAATCAAAACAGTTCTCATTATATTTTAACTACAGACTATTGCTTGCCAGAGCCTCCCCTGTGCTGAAAGTAAGATCGATAAGGGAGAGCTAAGGGTTTACTAAATACAGAGCATCTCCTTGTTAGATTCAGAAGACTTGCAAAGAGAAATGTGTGCTTCAGTGTGGTTAGCAGGGCACTGCTTTGAGAAGCCTAGTATAGTAAAAGCCCCATGTGGCTGGGTTCCTGATTCTAGAATGTCCCATATACTAGGTATGTGACCTTAGAGAGCTCTCTCAGCATGTCTAAGCTTCCTTTGCATCTGGGTTTTAAGGTTAATCACTCTAACTTCCAGGAGCTCTGAAGTAATGCAGGTAAATGTGGTTTATAAACACAGTAAGGAATAATCACTATTGAAGTCCTGTTGCATGGGAGTAGAACACTCTGGAGTCAGACTTCCTGGGTTTGGATCTCCATTCTGCCACTGACTAGCACTGTGGACTTGCCTCAGTTCCCCTCTCTGTAATGTGGGTATGGTGATATAAAATTATAAATTTGTCATGAATTGAATTGAGTTAATATATGAAAAACATAACCAGGCCTAGAGGACTGAAGTGTTGAAAAACCAGAAGAAAAACCCTTAAGACATTCAGGTGATTATTTTCTGTTGTTCCCAGTGGGTGGTGGGTGGGAGTGTTAGACTTCCTGAAAGTTCCAAAGGGCAGGCGCAGGACTGAATAAGGGCCAGACTTGGGGTAATAAGGGCCGGACTCAGGGTAATAAATGCCGTTGGTTGGAGTCAGAAGTCTTTCATACGAGGTGCAACACAATAGTGCTTCCTGAAGTTAGACCTGGGCCACCTCTGTCTCTGCTTGAGGAGGCTGCTCCCGTACACAGCAGAGGGTCACTGCCCACCTGTGGTGCAGTCTGCCTGTTTAAGGAGAGATGGAGCAAGAGAGGTGGTGCAGGAGAGGGGCTCAGCTCAAGGTGGCAGAGGGAGGCAGGACTGCCCAGTGGTGTCCGAGCACTCAGTACCTCTGCCTGTGCATCCTTGACCCAGCAGCCAAGTGAGAGGGAGCCTGTGAACACTGCCTGAGAGTTGAAGCAAGGCTTTTCAGCAGGGTTCTGTAGTACAGAAGGGTAAATAATCCAGCTCTTAAGGCTGGGTCATTGCAAACTAGAGACCCAGCCCTGACCAGGCCTCCGGGGACCAACAGTGTTGCCCTTGACCGTGGAGATGAGACTGAGTCGCTTTGTCTCTTCTGAAAAGGAGGGAGCAGAGGGATGGTGTTCTCTCCCGTGATGCAAGCCAGGGAGAGTACAGAGAGGCCTCCTAACCCCTCTCTGTCTTTCTTCCTCCCCAGGGAACATCCTGACCAGACCAGGACCGGCTTGGGCAGTGAGAGCCTTCTGCTTCGAGGCTGCACCATCAGAAACACTGAGGTGGCTGTGGGCATTGTCATCTATGCAGGTCATTGTCCCCAGACAGCTTCTTTGTCCCTTTCCTTCATCCTCACTCCTCCAAATCCATCCGCAGCCCGTGGGAACTCACAACAGTCCTATGGTGCAGAGCCACACAGCTTCCTATTTCTCAAGAGACAAAAGGTTGGGGTCACAGAAATTCTCTCTATCCTTGGGGAGACGTTAGATTTGGGTTAATATCACTCACCTAAGCAGCATAGGGGCAGTGCCTATATACACTCACTCCGAGTGACTTTGCAACAGTCATCAAAGGTAGAGTGAAGAGTATCTTTCTGAGCCCAAGGAGGTACTTGACAGCTTCTCCTTTTTGTAAAAACTGTGCCTTAATGTCTGCATCTGTGCAATGAAGAGAAGATTGGGGTTGGCCCCATAAAGCAGTCCTGAGGATCACAGGCCCAACAGTCCTGCATCCAGCAAAGTGACAGCTCTGTAGATTTTAGCTCTGAGGTCTGGGAACTGGCCTTAGTTGCTTTTGCAGTTATGTTTTTATTATTATCTGTGTGCATGTTTTGGCTACCTATCGCTCCTTTCCACTTTGATTTTTCCCTTTTTTTAATTGTTTTTTTTTTTTAATGTAACGTTGGTTAAAGAATTGTTATGGTTCAGAAGGATATCATGCCCCTTCAGATGCATGTCACCACCCCACACTCATGGCCAAGGCACCCACAGCCCTCCTTCCACCACATTCCATTGGGCCCCTCCACATTTTGCTCCCCACTCCCCCTCTGCTACCCTCAATTCCACAGATTTATAGGGTTTGTTACTGGTTTGGTTTTATCTATTTTTTAATCTGGTTTTATCTGGTTTTATTTGGTTTTTGCTTTGTTTCTCTTTATTCCACATGTAAGCAACACCATCCCATATTTTTCTTTCTCCTCTTAACTTCACCTAGCATCATCCCCTCCAGTTCCATCCATGTTGTCACAAATAGCAAGATTTCTTCTTTTTTGATAATTGAATACAATTCCACTATGTACATAGACCACATCTTCTTAATACACTCATCTGTCCATGTACATTATTTCCATAAATTGTCTATTGTAAATAATGCTGCAATGAACATAAGAGTGCACGTCCCTTCTAATTAGTGTCGTTCATTCTTCTGATACCTAGGAGTGGAATTGCTGGATCTTATGGTAGATCTGCTTTTAATATTTTGAGAAACCTCCTTACTGTTTTCCATAGGGGCAGGACAGGCTACATTCCCAGCAGCAGTGTCTGATTTCTCTACATCCTCACCAACATGTTATTTCTGGTCTTTGGTCTTTGTGGTTGCGCCATTCTCACAGGTGTGAGGTGGTATCCCATTTTGGGATAATTGCTGATGAGCATTTTATCGTGTACCTATTTGTCATTGGTATGTTTTTTTTTTTAAGATTCATTTATTTATGCCTACAAGAGCTGGGGTACAGGCCAGAGTAGCGGGGGTAATGGGATTCACCAGAGACAGAGCAGGGAACAGAACAGGCAGACGACTGAAATACACTGCTGAGGGGAGCAGCGGGCAAGACAGGAGAGGTCTCCCTCTCCTTGTGGGTTGCTCCCTGGCTAGCCGGGGATCGAACTCGTGTTGCAGAGGCTGTGGATTGCTTCATGGTGTGGTGCTTAACCCCTTGCGCCACCAGGGAGGCCTGGTCATTGGTATGTTTTCTTTGGAGAAGTATATATTTAGCTCTTCTGTCCATTTTTTGATTGGGCATTTTCTTTTTGTTGAGTTGTATGAAATCTTTAGAGACTGAGGATATCAGCCCCTTGTCAACGTATGATGCAAAAATATTTTCTCCCATTTAGTAGTGTGTCTTTTTGTTTTAGTAATTGTTACTTTCACTGTGCAGAAACTTTTCAATTTGATGTAGTCCCATTTGTTTGTTTTTATTTTTGTTTGTCTTTCTGTTGGAATTCAAATCCCCGAAGTCACTGCTGAAGTCAGCATCATGGATGTTTTGCCCATGTCTTCTTCTATATATTTTATGGTTTCAGGTCTCGCATCCAAGTTATTAATCCATTTTTAATTGATTCCTATGTATGGTGTGAGATAGTCATCTTATTTCATTCTCTGCTTGTGGCTACCCTATTTTCCTAGCAGGAATTTTTGAAGAGACTTTCTCTGTTGTTGACTCTTGGCTCCTTTGTCATAGATTAACTGTACATATAAGTGTGGATTTATTTCTGGACTCTCAATTCTATTGGTCTGTTTATTTTTTAGTACAGTGCACACTGTTTTGATTACTATAGCTTTGTGGTATAATATGAGGTTGAGGTATGTGATGCCTTTGTTATTTTTTTGTCAGACTTGTTTGAAAAAAGATAGCAACACTTCTCATAATGACTCTAAAGTCATAGAGGGTTGTATTGGGGCTGCCATATCCATAGTACTTAGCACCCAGCACTCAGCAGGTGCTTTTGTTATATCTACAACTGTAGAGTACTTCCTCTATAGAGGAAACCATCTCCCTATAGAGCCTGCCTTCCCTGGACGACTCTAGATTACATTGTCCTGAGCCCAGTGAGTGTATTCACTGGGAAATCTTGTCATAGTTTGTATGATTGTTGTTTTGTTAAACTGTACTTATTTGGATCTGATTAGAACTCCACTTTTGATTGACATAAACAGCATTTTTACAGCAATCTACTGTAAAACTCACTTTGAGAACTGTCAAAGAAATATGGGTTTTTAAAAAATAATAATGTCACAATCTAGTTAATTTTCCCTAATTTGAGGGAAGGGGATTTTATTTGTCTGTTCAGGTGACTGCTTTCAAAGGTCTTTGGCAAAAGAATCTAGTGCCACCTTGTAGATCTACTGAAGGTCAACTCTGCAGCAATCCCTGTCCCACCAAAGAAACCCACATAGATTTTGAATTTGCTTCTCTGGGTGGGCAATGGGTGGTACATGAGAGTGCAGATTTGGAGGGCATATTAATCATACCTCTGAGGAGTCAAGTTTCCTGGAGATGAAATCCACTCACTCTTTGCACTTTCCTGAGCCAGCTGGTCAGTCTTCCGACTGAGGGAGACTAATAGTTCCTAGTGGGTAGGGTTAGAAGGTTCAGATGAGACTTTTTGTGAAAGGGATTAACATAATGTGTGGCATGTATTAGGCTCCTAAAAAGTGAGAAAAAGTGGCACTACTAGTTTCTCAGCATTATTACCTGGAACAGGGGCTCTCAAGGTTGACACAATGGACGTGTTGGTCCAGGCTGTTCCTTATTGGGGAGGACTGTCCTGTATGGTGATTAGCTGTGTCCCTGGCCTCTATCACTAGATGCCATTAGCACCACCTCCTCAAGTTGCGACATCCAAACATTTCTCAAGACATTGCCCAGTGTCTTCTGAGCATAAAAGCTCCTGTTTTAGAACAACTGGAATTTTATTCTCTCTTGATAATACAGACGGACAAAATACGACCACCTGAGTCCAAGACCCAGAAAGAATCAACTTGAGCTTCCCAGAAGGAAGCACAGACCCCTGTGGTGACCCCTCCCAATGGCAGTGACTTGAGTCTATTTAATACACCATACTCTGCTCATTACTGCCATTGTCACTTTAAATTCACAAGGCAACCAACTAAGCAGTGTTAAAGCCTTTCACTGCTGGAGCTGATATCCTGCTTTTCTTTAATTTTGCATAGAAACTGTACAAATGGTGTTTTTTTTTTTTTAATTTGACTGCTGAGAATACAGCACTTTGGTATAATATAGCAGCCCCAGAGGACAGGCTTTGTCTAGAGACAGTCTCAGTTTGACTGCCAGTTTTTAGTGGCATAGCTTGGGGACCTCTGGTTGGCTGCAGAAGATCCTGGGTTCTCAATGTGACTCTGGGGTTAATTTTCCTTTTCACTTCGAGCAGTTCCTATTTACCCTTTGGTCCTCAGTTTCTCCAATTAGAAAAAGGGGGTGACTGAATGAGATTAGTTTTCAAATTTTGTTGTCCTTCTTTAAACAAATTGTTATGCAGAACTCTGATAGGAGTGGAGTTGCTTAGTGCCATCAAGGCAGTGGAAGCCCTTGACCCCAACCACTTCATACAAATACCAGCACCTTAGGCAAAGAGGCAAATATAAAAGCTATTCACATCCAGAACTGTTCTGCCAGAGGGCCTTGGCACATACTATAACTTAAATATCACCTCCTCTGAGGAACCTTCCTTGACCATGCCCTCTAACACCACCTCTTATTCACCTTGTTTATTGTTTGTTTGATGAGACTTATTACTAACTGTAATTCATTATTTATTTGTTCCTTTGGGTATTTTTACAGAAGTGAGTCATGTGTCACTGTAAATCAATGCTAACTCATAACAGTGGCTTTGTGCAAATGATCAATAGAAAAAAAATAGCCCTTCCACAAGACAACTTACTGACATTTATCAGAATTGTGTCACAATAAACTTACAAATCTGTAACAGCCATAAGATGAGGGTTATCTCTAGAGTTGTGCATTGAGCAACCCATGTGTGGGTGCTCTGTCCATGCCCACCAGCATGTCTGGCAGATAGGGGAATATTCAGTGAATACCTGCTGACAATTTGGGTGAGACCTCTCCAGCTGTCTCATCAACCCCCTTGAGGCAGGAGATTCAAGTTAGTAGAAAATACAGCCTCTCTCTTATTGTAAACCCCTGTGAGAAGAGTTAAGGGAATGATCCAGGCCAGAGGCAAACAGGACCAAGAACTGACTACCTCATTTTCTCTCAAAGGCCATGAGACAAAAGCCATGCTGAACAACAGTGGCCCACGGTACAAACGCAGCAAGATCGAGAGGAGAATCAACATGGACGTATTCTTCTGCATTGGGCTCCTCTTCCTCATGTGCCTCACTGGAGCTGTTGGTATGGAATATTCTAGAAAGAACAGTACCTATGTAATCTCACTTTGTGGGCAAGTTGCTTCATCTCTCTGAGCCTCACTTTCCTCATCTCCAAAATAGAGGGAATAAAAGATAAAGCCTAGTTTGTAATTTAACAGGCTTCCAATGAAATACAGATGCATGTGAAATTCTCCTGAAAGTGTCAAATATCAAGCTTACCATCCATCGTTTATTTGTTCAAGAAACACTTACTGAGCCCAGAGCTCTCTTAGTACAAGAGGATGACAAGATGAATCGATCAAAGGTCTGATTCTTCAAAAGCTCAGAGTCCAGTAAGACGAAGTCCAACATGTGAAAAGAATCAATAGCCTAATCTGTCCCCCTCACTGAAGCTGCACAAAGTGCTGCATTGGTGTCCTGTTGCTGCTATGAAAAGTTAATACAGACTCCGTGCTTTAGAACTCTAATGTATTCTGTAACAGCTCTGGAGTTCGAAATTCCAAAATTCAGTTCATTGCATTCAGACCAAGGTGTGGGCAGGGCTTGGCTCCTTCTGAGTTTCTGGAAGAGAATCCATCTCTTCTTTTTCAGCTTCTGGGTTTGTGGCTCCTTCTTCCATCTCCAAAATTGCTCACATTTCCTTCTCTTTGCTCCAGTACAGGTTTTCCTTGCTATTCAAAGAAGGTGGCTCCTATTTCATAAGATTTGGGAGATCTGCAGATACACAAAAAAAAATTCCATATAAAGGGTAATAGTGTTCCCAGACCCAAAAAAATAATAGCATTCCCAGACCCTACAAATTCATGTCAAATGAGAGAGCTGCTTTCAGATAGTGGGGGATACCTGTAGCCTCTTTTCAGCCTCCTCTTTATAAGGACATATAATTACTTCTTAGAGCTACCTGGATATTCCAGGATACCCTTCTCACCTCAAGTGCATGGTTATTCAGCCATTTACAGGTATTCTGGGAGCATCAGGAGAGAAGTCTTCCTTGAAGAAGTAGCTAGTAGAATTGATTCCTAAGAGCAGTAGGTGTTCACCAGAAGAGGTAGGTGGTAGGCACGGTAAGTCAGGTGAAAAGAGAAACAGGTCATTCTTAGTTCCAGCAGCAATGCAAAGAAAGCTCTGAGCCAAGAAGGAGAAGCATCTCATGCAGAGCAACACAACAGCTGCTGGAGAGCTGCACGAGTTGTAGACAGGGTGATCTGGGCCTTTCAGATTGTACCTCAGAGGATAGACAAAGAGGGGCTCTTGTTCTTCCTCATTCTCCCCCTCTGTGGCTTGACTCTAAGATGGTTCCTGGGGTCATAAGGAGACCTCATCCCCCACCAGAACAAACCAGGAATGATGAAGAGAAAGAACCCAAGTGCTGAGTCCAGAGCCTCCGGCTGACCCAAACCAGCGGCTGTGGTGGTGCTCACACATTACTTGCCTTCCCCAGAAACCTGCCCGCTGCTGTCACTGGGGGAGCCACTCAGGCCTCTCGGGGCCAGACAGGTTTTGTGCCAGCACAGAGGAGACAATGGGCTTTCCTCTCATGGGTGACCTGGAGTTTTTATTTAATATGCTCCCCAGACTTACCTCATGGCACTCTGGCAGGGCAGCCCACAGCTGAAAGGAGGGCCTCTGGGCGGGAGAAGGGAGCAGACAAACACGAAAAACATCAGGGACACGGCTAAACTTTTGTGTCTGCTCCACTTCAGAACAGGTGTTCAGGGGCTGTTAGGGCTGGAGGGACATTTGAGATCATCTCAAGGTGTCTCCAAAGGATGAAGTTAATGATTAAAAGGTCACACAGTGAAGTAGTATACAGGTGAAGCAGAATCAGCTTGGGAGCTTGCCCAAAATAATAAATAAATTGAGAAAGTGACGGGGAAGGACAGAATCTACTCTGTCACAGAAGATCACCTACTACACAGTGATAGGTTCCCCTGGTGCCTCATTAAAGCACAGTCTCTGTCAGAGGTAAACATGCTCTGGTTAACGCCTCTCAAGGGTCCTTCATCAAGTTAAGTTTATATAAATGTGGGTCTTTTTTCTTTGCCCAGAAGGTCCTCATCAGGCCTTTCTGATCACCAAATACCCACCCAGCATCCAGGATCCATCAAGGCCTCCCCCTCCACGCAGCCTTCTCTGGTTTCTCCCTTGGTCTCTGGCTTCTCTCAAGGCAGCAGCACTTACTGTGTGCCTTGTATTTCACTCTTCAAGTTCATGTCTTTAAGTCTCCTTTCTTCTGCCTCTTATGATGGCACTTGGCCCAACCTCCTGGGCAGAGAAGTGTCTTGGGGGGTAGGGCAGCATGCCCTCTGGCTTTATATCCCCATACTTCCCACTCTGGACTGAGAGCTTTAAATACATTCATTTTCCTATTTTCCAAATAACCCTATGGAGGAGGTATTACTACTAAGTGAGAGATGAGGACACTGAGATTAGAGGGCTGTGTCGCAACTGTTGGATGCATTTCATCCTGTCAGTCCTCACATGAGAGATGTGGCCTTTGTTTGCAGACAAGGAATCTGAGGGTTCAGTCTGCATCTGGAGATGTAGTTACGGGATCTCCTCAAGAACAACAGCTAAGACCTACTTCTTAAATTAATAAATGACTAGAGGGAGGAGCAGTGAGGAGCGAGAGAACATAGATATGGATGATGGATAGATAGATGGATGACAGATGAGCAGGTGAATGGGTGGATGGATGAACAGGTGAGTGAATGGGAGGGTGGTTGGATGTGTGAGTATATACAGTAGGGAAGAAGAGGAACCAGGGTACAGGTCTGTCAAGATTCTCCACCCACACACTTTCCACAACACAACTGAAAATAACATGCACCTCTTTCTGTCTTTCCAAGTCTGTCTATAGGACTTCATCAAAATACAAGTCTCCTTTGGTAGAAAGGATAAATGCCTATCAAGAGATTGAAATGTAGGGACATATAAAAGATTGCTTTCGAGCAAAATGAATACACAGAGAGAGAGAACTATACTGTACAGAAGAAGGATGGGCCCCTATAAAGCGCACTCATTTCCAGAAATAGATCTAGGGTCGATGTAATTGACCAGTGCAGAACTAAATGGGGACTCTCCTTCACCCTGCCTTTGCCTCCTCTCAGGTCACAGCCTCTGGAACAGGACTTTTGGTGAACACCCTCCCTTTGATGTGCCAGATGCCAATGGCAACTTCCTTCCCCTTGCCCTTGGGGGCTTCTACATGTTCCTCACGATGATCATCCTCCTCCAGGTAGGGAGCTCTTGCATACCCACATATCAAGAAGGCCTACAGCCAGTTTCACAACTTTGTGAAATACAGAAAATTCACTGCTGGCCCCAAGAAAGACTAACTGGGTAGAGATGGGAAATGTTCACTGCTTTCTTGTGGGTGTTTGAAAGTGTTCAAATTTGGGGTTGTGTCAGGACCAGCCCTGCCTCATGGAGGGGACCTTGACCCCCGATAATAACAAAGAAAAATATTTATCAGGCTCTTTCTATTTAAGACTGAGATTACATCAATGGTTCAAGTATGCGTGTCCCTTTGCCAAATGCAGACCATGTCAAACATTAATCACCCAGGAACAAAAGAAGATAAAATCGCACAGAGCGAGAAGCCATAGGTCAGTGTTGTGGCATTTGATAGGTTGAAATGGAGAAAAAGCAGAACTAAACAAAAACATATAGAACACCTACAAGCTGTGAGACAGGAAAGGATAAAGAGATGAATGTGAAATCTTTGGACTCATAGAAATTACAATCCGTGAAAAGATGAGGAAAGTTGTAGCTATGTTGTGATGAAGCTCCATACACATTTGATTTGTTACAATATTTGACTGTATTTCCTTGTCCTCTTCCTGGTGAACCTTTTTCAATCATTAGCTCATTCACTCACTTAACACCATCATTTTTAAATATGAGTCAAATCCTACCCACCTCTGCACAGAACCAGCCCTCCAGTGGCTCCAGATCCCTTCCAAGTGAAATCCAAAATCCTGACTGTAGCCAAGGGTTCTGCTCCCTGACCCCTCCCCTGGCCACGTCTCCTGTTCATTCTCACCCAAGCTTGCTTACTCATAGCCCACAAGTCCCTGCTTCCACTGCCAGGTTTTCCCCATAATTCTCCTCCCTCCACAGATAACCTCACAACTCACACCTCCTTTCTTCACATTTCTGCTCAATGGTCATGATTTATGAAGGATCCCATCCCCCGCCATCATCTTTATTCTTCTTGAAACTTTACCACCACCTGATATATATATATATATATATATATATATATATATATATATAATATATTTTATATATATATATATTTTTTGCTGGGTTATAAGGTCTTCAAGACCAGAAGTTTTGCTCTGTTCACTGTCATTTCCAAGACCTAAAACAGCAGCTGACACTCAGCGAGCACTTGATAGGCACTGGGTATTGAGCCAAGTAAACAGTAATCAACAGTGGACTTAAGTACTTAGAAAAGGGAGGGCAGCCCTTAGGGGCATAGATATCCAAGGGGGTCAGTACTCTCAGCAGGGGCCCTGGATAGCCTCACCCCCTTCCATCTCTGTCATCAAATAGCCCAAGGTGAGTGCCCACTTTGTTCCAGACATCTCTGCCTCAGATTCCCCTAAAAATTCCAGGGGTGGCATGAAGTCATGAAGTTGTTGATCTTTAATTTCACAGAGATAGCCCACCATGTCAATTGACATGAAATATCTTTGTTGCCCACTAACAAGAGTAAGTGGCTGGTTTCTGACATCAGGACCCGTCTTCCTCAGGTGCTGATCCCCATCTCCCTGTATGTGTCCATTGAGCTGGTGAAGCTGGGACAAATCTTCTTCCTGCACAATGACCTTGACCTGTATGATGAAGAGAATGACATGTCCATTCAATGTCGAGCCCTCAACATCACCGAAGACTTGGGTCAAATCCAGTACATCTTCTCAGATAAAACGGGCACATTGACTGAGAACAAGATGGTGTTCCGGCGTTGTACCATCATGGGCAGCGAGTATTTGCACCAAGAAAATGGTACGAGGGCTCCCAGAGGGGTGCCATTCCTCTTTCTAAAGTAGTCACCAGGTCTCCTAAAAGAATAGTGATTGAAATCATGACCTGGTGTCCCCACAAAGAGGACATGTGGCTCTGTGGCAAGTTGCTTCCCATTCCCCCATGGCTTCCTCATCACAGATCCTACCATTCTTGCTGCCATAAACTCTTATCTGGTCACTATGGGGATCTGCGGTCACCTGTGTGGTAGCCTTGCAGTTAGTTGGACTTTGGTGCCAATTACACAGAATATTTATCAGAAAAGGACTGGGATGTCCTAGTTATGTGCAGGTCATACAGCCAGGGTTTAAGAATTTCTCAGGCCACCTTACCTGACATGTCAGGACAGACTAGGTCTAGGCACATGGTCAGATTCAATGCATGCAGGAAAGACCTTCTATGCTAACTCTTGGATCTCTTGGATTTTCACTGACACAAAATTTTGGTTAAGGAGATGTGGCTGAAAAAGGCCTGGACTGTCATCTTGCATGAACTGAAGGAGGCCTATAAAACTGACACATGTGACACATGTGTGCACGCAGAACGTGTTCATTCTTTTGAGTAGAAGGGACAAAGAAAGGGAAAGGAGGAGCCATTTTGGGTAGCCCAATCTCCTTCACCATGATGGTAGTCATTTACATGGAAGCTTCTCTTTTTAATAATAGCAGTTGCTATTACCAGTGCTGGAGTATGCTAATCACTGTAATACACCTTAATGTGTTCAAAACAGGTTTGTGAGTTAGTTACTTTTTACAATCCCTGACTGAGGAAATAGAGGCACAGAGCTCAGTCACAGAGCTTAGAGGCAACAGAGCTTGAACTGGAACTCACAAGACTTAGCACCCATCTCTCTTCAGTCAGGGTAGCCCTGTCACCTGTTTTCTAAGCAGTATGCTGCTCTTACTGCATGCTCCTAGCTCCACCTACAAAAGCTGAGGTCTCCCCAACCTGATCCAGCCCAGGTATGACTACCATGTTAACCAGACTCCTTTCTTTCAGCCAAGCGACTGGAGACCCCAAAGGACCCAGACTCAGACAGTGAAGAGTGGACCCAGTACCGGTGCCTGTCCTTCCCAGCCAAAGGTGCCCAGGGCCCTGTGACAATGAGAGGCCAAAGGGCAGCCCAGCCTCTGAGACGGAGCCAGAGTGCCCAGGTGCCCATCCAGCACCACTGCCGGCAGAGGTCCGTGGGGCATAGTGAAAGCACAGCCCCTCCAGTGCCCTTCAACAGCTTCATAGTAAGTCCCTGCCTTCTCCCCTTTCAACTAAAGAGACCTCTAGTGGGGAGGTTTGGAGTGTGTGATGGAAAAGATTATTTAAACCCCAAAGAGTTTTCAAAATGGCCGGCAGCCCTTGGGCTTCTATGTCGTCCACCTGTAAATTTTGTCAGGGTTATAAAATTGTTATTTCTTATGTTCATTGTCTTGAAATTGGGAGATTTCATATAAACATATAGATTTCTGGTTTCTCTCTCAAATATTGGAGCATTTCTCCTCTTAAAGCCAGCATTTCTTCATGGCCAGGATTACCTTGGATAGGAGCAGTGCTATTTGAACCAAGCATGACGTCTTCAGAGCCTCAAGCCCCCAGCCCCTGCTATGTTACCCTGTCACAGAGCTGGAGCCAACACAGGCTCATTTGGCATGTTTTTCCAGATAATAGTTAAGAGGAAAGGGGCATGTTTGTCATGCTAATGTTTCTATAAAGCAGAAAATCAAAAGATAGGCCTTGTAGGCTAATGTGTTTCAAGAAGGTGGGAGAATGTACTTTTCTTGTGATCATCAAAACAAATCCTAAATGGCAGAGAAAACATCTGTGTCAGTGCTTCCCAGCCCAGTGTCATCCCTCAGGTTAGCAGCTGGTCCTGTGATATTCCACTTTGCAACTTTGGTCTGGGACTTACAGTGGTACCTTGCAGGACCATTAATTCAGCGATCAGGCAGTGGAAGATGTTGCCCCAAGATCACCCAGCATGCTCTAGACATCAAGGCCAAAACCAGGCTCCTGACCCCTGTCCTATTCCACTTTCCTCTGCCTGCAACCTTTCTCTGGGATCACATCATCTGGAATTGTCCACACTTTCAGAAAAGGGCCAGCTATCATGAACAAGAGACAGACCTAAAGTGCTATTGTCCCATTGCTAGAAAATCATATTTTCAAAATTATCTGTTGTATGAATTTCCTTCTAGTATTTTGCTTCCCCCATTGATACACACTCATATCTTTTTAACATCTTTGCGGTCACAAACAAGTCATAGGTTGGATTTGTTGTTTTCTTTTTAATCAGATATATCAAAACCTTATACCATACCCAGGACTGTGTTTCCTGACAAAGAATCTGTGAAGCTGTGTGTTCCGGGCTGTTACCCAGCTTCAGGTGTAGTTAACCCTCTTATGTTACCACCAACCTCAGAAATGCAACATTAGCAAGGATAAAAGAATAACAGTGTGTTCGGATTTATGATCCTCATCTACATAAGAAAGGAACGAGTCTGTTAAGATTTTTGATTTTCTTTGATTATTTGATTTTCCCAGATGAGATAGCAATGGGACATGTGTGTCATCTGATCTCTTTAATTCAGTTCCACCTGCTCTGAAAGGAATACTCTTCCTCTGGCTCTGTACCTAAATACATGAACTAAAAATTTAGGGAATTCTCAGTAGGCCCAGATTCTAAGTCTTGTACCACTAGTATCTTTTGCCATCTTCTCATTCTATTAGCCACAGACATCCTAAGTGTCTGAAGAAAATGCCCCCCACCCAGCCCATGGGAGCAGAGGGAAAAGGAAGTTTTCCATTTGAGCTCAGTTTAGATACTAGGATTCACCACCCCCTGTTCAATCCCATAAATCTCAGTAGCCAAAAAAAGCTGCAGCATTGAGCCAGCCAGTAGGGCTTTTGTTCAGGGTTCTTAGCTAAAGACAGACACATTAACCTCTGAGCTCTCTCCTGGTTCTGGAGTATCATTCTGCCCCGGCTCTTACCAACTTCATTTGGGAAGAGTAAGGAAGTTGACACACAGATTAAGACCCAATTCCTGTTCTCTGGGTAGGTGGGGATGGTGGTTTGTTCTCAGTACCTGTTACATATGCCATTCTATAGTTGGGTTGTTTGAAAAGCTTTGACAGTGGGACAGCAGTATCCCTGGTATTTATTAAGGGATTAAGGGAGGGTGCTGAGCTGAGTCAGGATATGCAGGTTCTGGTTTCGGCTCTGCCACTGGTGCCTGTGGAACCCCTGGCTATCCCTGTGTCATCACTTGAAAATATTTTGCTCAACTCTCACTGGCTATTCTAAAAGTCAAATAACAGAATGCTTGTGCGGAGCAGCAAAGTCCTCTCTGGTGAGGAATTAGACAATTTCAGGTCAAATGCCCCCAATTTTCAATTCTGTTTCATATGTATCAACTGTGACTTTCACCACCTTAACAGCTGGAAGCCTCAACATCCCCATCTTTAAAAAGGATTATTGTGGGCCTCCCCTGGTGGCGCAGCGGTTGAGCGCTGGGCTGCGAGGCTGCCCGCAGTCTCTGCAGCACCAGTTCGTTCCCTGGCCGCCTGCGAGGGTCCCACAAAAAAAAAAAAATAAAAAAAAAAATAAAAAGGATTATTGTTTGGCCCTCTGAGTTTATTTTGAGGATTTAATTCTTAAAGTTATATGTTCTAGACAGATGAGCCTTCATCTTTTTATTCCTGATGATTCCAGTGAGCAGTGAGCTGGAGAGAGCTCTGAGCTTTGCCATCGCCCCACTGGGAAATTGTCATCATTTGGCTCAGAGAGACACCATCTACAGCTTGGGAGGCCCTGGCCGAGGGTGTGGCAGAGGCTGCCTTAAAGGGCTCTGACACTAACACACAAAGTATCTATGCTTGAGAGAGGCCACAGAGTCTGTTTATGCTGCTCCAGGTGGTCTCCTGGTTCCCTCCTCCACCCACTCTTGGGGGACTCTCTAAACTTGCCATCTGGTCTGATGATCTCTTGGCACCACTGAGCTTTACCTTCCCTTTGAAAACTCAACCTGACTCTGAGCCACCGTGGTGCCAGGTCATAGAGGGGACTATGCCACCTTCTTTGTTTTAATTATGTTTATTAAGGTAGTGTTGGTTTCCAGTACTGAATCTATTTTAGGAGTACAGGTTCACACTTCTGCAAACATATGTTAGCACCCCACACCCACCACCACAGCCCCAGCCCATGGGGCCCCCTTACCTCTTTGCTTCCTTCCCCCCACCCTGACCCTCTGGCTGCCTCAGTCCTATTAGTTAGATTTCAAGGGTTTGGTTTGGCTTGGTTTCATCTGTTCCTTTGCTTTGCTGCTGGGGGGAAGCAATGCACCCGAACATGAGAGCCACTGTATGAAGAGCCTCATTACTATCTAGAGGGGCTGAGCCAGAATCAGGTTAGAGGAGTTTGCAGAGAAACATTAATAAGGGAACATCTACCTTAGCATGACCACGGGGAGGATTCACCCTGACCCCTTATCCTGCCTTTGCACTAACTCCCTGTGTTACTGATCAGATCAGCCCATCATCTCTCTGGGCCTCAGTCAAGGTGGAACTAGTTTCACTTCAACTTGGGACTGTGAGAACCCAACGAGGGCACCTGAATGATGCTGTTGGGAAGGTTGGAAGAGCTTCGTGAAGGGAGCTCCTGCTGTGAAGACCAGGCTCAGAGGCAGAGGGGGTGGAAGGTGCAGGCTCGCTTCCCACGCTTTCTGAAAATAATGGCACCGAGTGGTGTGGGCCAGTCACCGTGACTTACAGGGCAACGAGAGGAAATGCAGATGCCGCATTTTTACTAACATCTTCCTCTTTCATAAGTAGACCTTTTTCTGGGTGTGGTCTTCTTAAGATGGCGTGAATGAGAGGGAGGGGTGAAGGCTGACTCTTGGCAAGAGCGCCTAATGAAGGTTAGAACCCTGAAGAGTGTGTGCTCACCATGGTCGGGACACCCACATCCCTTCCTCTCCCTGTGGTGCTGGAAACCCCAGCTCTCACCCCTCTGGCCAGCCAGCACCTCCGCCGCGCCTGGGTTTCCTCTCCTGTGGCTCTCACTATGTCACCGGCCCCAGGGGAGACAGGATCTGACTTCCAGAGACCTTGCATTTAGCCATCAAAAAAGACACAACTGGAGGTCTCTTTCCCCAATGGACTTTGGCAAACCTCAGCTTGGGTTATTATGTACAGTCTGCCAGCTTGTTCACCCTCAGCCTTCACCTTATACCAGTCAACTGATTCTCTCAGTCCATCTTTTCAACCACTGATTCTCTTTCTTCTAAGCGGTCATTAAACTGTAAACTCTGAACACAGATAGAAATGGCCTCCATGGGGCGGCCTTTGTCATATCTGATATAGAAAGCTGGAGTTTGTTGAACTTTGGCTTCAAACAAAGCAGCAATGGAAGCTCTAGAAGATACTACTTTGTAGAAAACACAGACTCTTATCTCTGAGGCTAACTCTAGAGAAATTGAACATGGACATAAAATAATTGAAGTTTATTTTTTTTTAATATTTTATATAATTCTTACATCATTTTTCTTTTTTGCACAATGTATGCATTATCATTTTGGTTATATTCCCCATACAATTGCACCCCCCCTTATTTTGACCCTAGTTCTTCCTCTGCCTTTCCCTCCTCCCTCCCGTGGTGTGTCTCTGGTTTATAGTTGCTTGTTGATTTTGATTTTTACTTTGTATTAATTAGTCTTTTTCCTGGTCCCTTGTTTAGGTTTTCTAGTTTCCTGCTATGAGTGAGACCATCCGGTATTTTTCTTTTTCTTTCTGGCTTATTTCGCTGAGCATGATCCCTTCCAGCGCCATCCATGTTGCTTCAAACTGCATGTGTTTATCTTTTTTGTTTTTGTTTTTTTTGTTTTGTTTTGTTTTTAAATATATTTTATTTTATTTATTTAAAAATTTATTTATTTATTTATTTATACAAGCACTGGGTACAGTCAGAATCACGGGAGGGTGAGAGAATTCACCAGAGCCAGAGCGGGGAGCAGAGCAGGCAGAAGGACCGAAGTACACTGCTGAGGGGAGCAGCGGGCGGCAGGAGAGGTCTGCGCGCCATGTGGGACCCTCCTCCAGTGGCTGGGGAGCAGCCGGGGATCGAACTGGCACTGCAGAGGCTGTGGGCAGCTTTGCAACCCAGCGCTCAACCACTGCACCACCGGGGAGGCCCTGTTTATCTTTTTTGAATGCTGAGTAATATTCCATGGTGTATATGTACCACATCTTCTTGATCCAATCATCTATTTTTGGGCATTTGGGTTGTTTCCAAAGCTTAGCTATTGTAAATAGTGCTGCTATAAACATAGGGATGCAGGTGCCCTTCGGAATTAATGTTTCTGTGTCCTTTGGGTAAATACCTAGGAGTGGAATTGCTGGATCATATGGAAGCTCTATCTTTAGTAGGTCAAGAAATCTCCACACAAGATTTCTGGACCTACTAAACATAGAGCTTCCATATGATCCAGCAATTCCACTCCTAGGTATTTACCCAAAGGACACAGAAACATCAATTCCAAAGAGCACCTGCACTCCTATGTTTATAGCAGCACTGTTTACAATAGCTAAGCTTTGGAAACAACCCAAATGCCCAAAAATAGATGACTGGATCAAGAAGATGTGGTACATATACACCATGGAATATTACTCAGCATTCAAAAAAGATAAACACATGCAATTTGCAGCAACATGGATGGCACTGGAAGGGATCATGCTCAGCGAAATAAGCCAAAAAGAAAAAGAAAAATACCGGATGGTCTCACTCATAGCAGGAATCTAGAAAACTTAATTAAGGGACCAGGAAAATGAATATAAGAAAGTGAAAATCAAAATCAACAAAAAACTATGAACCAGAGACACTTTTTGGGGGGTGGGGGGCGGGAGGGGAAGGATTGGGGTCAGAATGGAGCGTTTGCAATTGTATGGGGGAATATAAAAATAAAATTTAATATTTTAAAAAAAAAAAAAAAAAAAAAAAAGAAATCTCCACACAGCTCTCCATAGTGGTTGGACCAGTTTGCACTCCCACCAGCAGTGCAGGAGAGTTCCTTTTTCTCCACAACCTTGCCAACATTTGTTGTTGCTAGTTTTTTTAATATGTGACATTCTCACTGGTGTGAGATGGTATCTCATTGTAGTTTTGATTTGCATTTCCCTGATTACAAGTGATGTTGAACATTTTTTCATATGCCTGTTGGCCATTTGCATTTCCTCTTTGGAGAAGTTTCTTTTTAGTTCTGCCCATTTTTTGACTGGATTATAAAATAATTGAATTTTTAATATCAGTCATTATGTAGTGAATTCCAAAGGGAAGGTGGAACTGGCAAATTCTACAGAGATAAGAAAAATAAGAATCCTATGAGTCAGATCTAACCCACAGATTAAAAAAAAAAAAAAAAGGAAGTTCTCACATCACCTCTGCTTTATCTTAAAAAATCAAGAGATTTGGCAGATGCTGCTAGCATTGTAACATTTCACTAGTGTCCCCTTTTAGATGGGGTAAGACCTGCCAGGTCTCATTGGCACCACTATTCCACCATGTCCTCCTCTGGACCTTGGCTCACTTCCTTTATCCCTCTCCCCTGCCTGACTCCTGTGGACCTTGAGTTCAAGGACATGCTAGAGTGACGCAGAAGCCAGACATTTCACTATGGGTGGGAGAAAGCTCATGTACAATCGAAGTCTAAGTAGGATTTGGGTGGCAGAAGAGGAGTTTGCAAACAAGGTGTGAGCAGAGGTGAGGAAGAGGGATGTGTATCCATCCAGGAGCACCTGGTTGAGCAGAGGATATCTGTTGAAATCTGGTGGGAGGAAAGGATGGAAGTGCAAATGGAGGAAGAATCTGGATGCTGTGAACAGGTGGTGCTTACTGTTATCTCCTGAAGTTTTCTCCAGTTCAAGAGGACCCCTGGGTGCAGGCGGCTGTGGAGCACCCTTAAGGATTTCATTTAATCTGCAGCAAAATGCAAGGGTAATACCTAGAACAGGTTAGGGAGAAAAGAGGTGAGAGTCAGAAATACCAGTTTAGGGGCACCCAGTCCTTCAAGAAAGACTCTTACCCAGGCTTTTCTTCTAGGAAAAAGATGTGACTCCAGACAGAAACCTACTGAGCAAGGTGCACCATGCTGCCCTGTGGCTGGAAACCCTGTCAGACTCTAGACCTTCCAAGACTTATCTCTCTACCACGGCCACCATCACTGACTTCTTCCTTGCCCTGACCATCTGCAACTCTGTCATGGTCTCCACCACCACTGAGCCTAGGCAGAGGGTAAGGACTGATAATGGCAGGATGGGATGGATGGAGAAGAGGTAGAAGCCAGGGGGTGGAGCCCTGGACAGGAGACACGCTTGGGCCCTTACCATAGTGACACCACCTAATCACTGTGACGTCTTAGACACACTGCTTATCTTCATGGCCCTGTTTCCTCATTTTTAAATTAAATGGAAAATGCTGTATATGAGTTTTCCATGTGACTTTCAAATTTTGTATCTGTCTATAGGATGGATGTTGACTTAATATTTATTAGCCACTTGCTACGTACCAGGCTCCATGCCAATACTTCATCTGTGTTTTCATTGACTCCTCACTACCCAACAATTCTATGAGGCATGTCCTTGAACTCAACAAATAAAGGAGCAGTGGCTCAGAAGCTAGAGTGACTCAGCAAAGGTTGTTGGTTGATAAGTGGCAGAAACATCTGTATCATCCTATAATACAGCATGATATGCTGGTCTCTGCTGTTACATTGGGTTTAAAAAAAAAAAACTCGTGACATGAGTAAAATTCTATCATTTTGAAGATAATGCAACTGGATGACCATTTATAGAATGTTATACTTTGGATTCTTTTTCAGTATTACAGGTAGATTTAGCTTTAATTATCTACAAACTATTACCCAAGCCTCCCTTGTGAATGATGGACAGAAATAATTGGGTGTCATAAGCATGACTATAAGATCAAGAAATAGAGGGTTCGCCCAGCCACCAAACCAGAACCCTGATGCCACACCCTGAAATGTCACTTCAGCCAGGGAAAAGTCTTTAGGAAATCAGAAATCTTCAGGCAGCTTTGGGAGACAGAAGTATTATCTGAGAAACTAACAACATGTTCAAGAGAAGAAGAAATGCCTTTTGGACAGTGTCCACTTCAGCATTTTCAGGTTCATGAGGAAAGTTTAGCTGGCAGGTCACTCAAGAGTCTATGATGTCTAGAATCAGACAGATCCAGATCTGAGTCCCAGCTACTCTTGGGTGATAATGACTGGTGTATTTAACCACTTTGTGCCTCAGTTTCCTCATCCTTAAATTGGGAGTGATTTCACCCCCCTAGAGTTGCAGGGGGCATGGGTGGGCTGAGATGCTGCATGCAGAAGTAAAGCAGACCAGCTGTGATCAGGATTCGGGGCTTGGGGTATATGAGCTCTCATAAGGATGGTCAAAATACAGAAGCAAATGAGCATTGCCAATCCCTAGAATGTCAGGGCCTGACTCCCTCATGTTACAGGTAAGTAAACTGAGGATCACAGAGGGGAGAAAAGACCCCAATTATCTACTTATAACAAAATGATCCTCATGTTCTATCATAAGACAGCTTGATGTTTGTTCCAACTTCAGAGTAATGTACTTTCCTCCTTGGGCACCAAGGTCACAGCTGCACCCTCAGCCAAGGCTGTGAGGGTATCCCTGGAGAAGATCCAGTATCTCTTCCAAAAGGTGAAGCTTTCGAGCCTCAGCCAGTCATTCTCATCTACTGCGCCCTCTGATGCTGACCTGGGAGCCAGCGTGCCCACCCCCAGCTCAGAAGAGACGTCTGTGTGCAGCGAAGGCTACTCCATGGACGGTGACTCTCGGAGCAGCATGTGGGACCAGAGTGACACCCAGGGGTTCAGCTCAGGTGTCTCCTGGAAGGAGCTTCCAGGAGGCCTGGCCAGGCCGGAGCTCTGCTATGAGGCCGAGAGCCCAGACGAGGCAGCCCTGGTGCATGCAGCCCGTGCCTACAGCTTCACACTGATGTCCCGGACACCTGAGCAGGTGACCGTGCGCTTGCCCCAGGGCACCTGCCTCACCTTCGATGTCCTCTACACCCTGGGTTTCGACTCTGTCCGGAAGAGAATGTCAGTGGTTGTGAGGCATCCCCTGACGGGTGAGATCCTCGTCTATACCAAGGGTGCTGATTCAGTTATCATGGACCTGCTGGAAGACCCAGCCTGTGGTGAGTCCTACCTCGCCTGCACTCTGTGATGTAAGGGGTAGTTGCAGTGGTGGGTAATGAAGAGTTTAATTAGTGTCCCTTACTCCAGCAGACCCCAGCTGGAAGACATCTCCACAGATGCCTTCCTCAAGGCAGGTTCCTGAAAACAACGTTTCGTTCTATTTCTCCTGGACATGGATTTGGCCAGTCTTCGATAGAGACACCTGTTTAACTTGACTCATCCCAGTCTCCAGTTTTCCAAACTCATGTAAACCTGGATGATCCATATACCTTTTTTTAAAACCAGCACATCCATTAATATGCCCCAGGACACATCCTGTTCCTAACTCTTTGCTTTAGAGCTATGCCAACTGAACACAGGGGAAGTGACTTAAGAGAGTTGACACAGCTAACTAGTAATGAATCCAAGCCCAACGATCCCAAACCCCAGGTCCAAGCTCTTTCCAGGCCCCAGGATTCTGCACCAAGCTTGGCTCACTCTGAGAAGCCCTTGGTGGACCTCTTTACCATCCTTTCCCCCAGCCTCCCCCAAATGCATTTCCATAAACATGTGCCAGCCACAAAAATGTTCCAGTGTCCCTACATTTCACTGTCCAATTTTGGAGCAGCATGAATTAGTGGGCAACCGTTTCCTGATTGCTAACAAGGAGTAGACAGTTTGGGGGCTAGGATTCTCCCAGGATAGAAGATTCCAGCCAAGCTTGAGAATCACCCAGGCAGCTCTGCGCCTCTTGCATTAACGGTGATGGATTAGAGCCAAAGAGCTTCATGGGGATTGATGAGTGTTTCAAATGGGAAGGGAGTTAATTAGGTCTTTTCATCCCCAGACTCTGGCAGAGAAGTGAATTCGTGTTTCTGAGTCCAGGGTGCCATGGCACTCTATCCCTGGGCCTGCCATCAAGCCGCCCTGGAGAGCTTTCTTTATTTGTCTCTCACCTGATTCCAAAATGGATTAGAGAGATTTCCAATAAAAGACACATAAACAATGTTACTGCTATATAAGAACTGAAATGCAAAGCTGGGGTGGGGGAATAGGGAAGAACTATTTCTATAGTGTTTTACTATATCTATAGCGTTTACTATTTCTATAGTGTTTTACGATATCTATAGTATTTACTATATCTACAGGTTTACTATATCTATAGTGTTTGAACACTAATTTGCCCCTGAGGTTCCTGTAGCCCTTACAAAAAGGTAAACCAGAACTGCTGATTTTGAACATAAAATATTCTAGCTAGTGCTCAATATAGCAATGCACAAAGACTGTCCTTAAAGTACCATTAACACTGGGAAATAAGAAAATAATCCCGGATTTGTATATTGCATGAAATAGTCTTAGAGAATTATTATGGAGGAAATCAGAGCTTTGCTGAAATGCCAACATTTGCCTTTGTCAAGAATTGTGTTTTTAATTTTGTGTGATATGAAGAGATGGATAAGGTGTGCTACATCTGTTCCCTACCTGGGGCCCATAAAGATTTCCATAAGCCTAGGCAAGGAAGGAATATGAAGTTTTTTCAGCTTTATAAAGTGCTACTATTGATTAGTGATGTCTGTGATGTCTTAGCTAATGGAGTGGAGATAGCATCAAACCTGCCCCACACTAGCCAACCAGGCTGAAAAACTCTGTGCCTGATAAAGAGGAATCTTAAGAGAAAAAGATACATTTCTTGTAAAAATGCATTATGTAGGACTTCAAAAAGGGGACTTTGAGTAACCCAATTGAATGCAAAAAAAGTATTTTTTTCTAAAACAGTCTTGTCTAGAAGAAAGTCTCACTTAGCAAACATAAAGTGGTAAAAAAAAAAAAAGCAACACAACAACTTAGCAAAAAGACTCTGGCCCCTTTAGGTCTTGGGACCTAAATTGACACAGGGTCTGCAGTAAATGACAGAGAGGGTGACGGATAGTTTGTCTAAGACTCAGCAATTGGCCATCAGGACTAAACTGACCACATAGAAAACATCAGCGGCAATAACAAATGATTCAGGTGTCTGGTCCCCAATTCCACAGGGCTTCCACTGGACCTGGGAGTCGCAGGTACTGATTTAAGTTCCTAAGTGCTTCTGCTGCAGACAGGTGTTTGGGAAGAATACTTTCTCAGACAGTCTTTGGATAACAAGATAGAGCAGACAATTTAAGCTCTCCAGGGTATCACTTCCCAGGACACCCTCACTCAGGGAGAAATGCTCCGTATTTCTGGGCGGGTTGTAAAGGGATTCTCCTCTAAGGTCCTTAGATGTTCAGAACGGGGATCCCTGAGCACTTGTACATGACCTCATGAGGCACGATGACTGTTTGACAGCAATTGACAGTGAAATGGAAAAGAAGGTGAGGAAAATCCGGGCCCAGACCCAGAAGCATCTCGACTTCTATGCAAGAGAAGGGCTCCGCACGCTGTGCATCGCCAGGAAGGTAGGAATAATCTCTCTCCTTAGTGGCCAGAAGGAATAGATCCTGTGCTTTCTTTTCTTTTTCTTTTTAGAAGTCCCTTAATGTTCATTGTAATGTTTTCTAAATTAGTTGTTCTGACTCACCACAATTAAGTGACAGCACTTCAACAATTTGAATGGCAAAGTTCTGTTTCAGCGTGACTTTGAGTTTTCTGCTTTTTCCTGTATATATGAATGGTAACCCATAACTCATAAAATACTTTCTTATGTTATGCTTTTGTCTCCATTGTATCCTTTTAAAATTTGCATATTTGCCTAGATTTAAATTTGGGGTTATTTTATGTCATTACTTAACTATCTCGATTGGTATGGTGACTGGATAATCTAATACTATGTTGTATATTTAAAAATTTCTAAGGGAGTGACCTTAAGTAGACATAAGGAAAAGTGAGTGTAACTGTGTGTGATGATGGATGTTAATATGACTGATTGTGGTGAATAGTTTATAACATATAGGTACATTGTATCATGTTGTATACCTCAAAATTAATATGTGATATGTCAATGATGGCTCAGTTTTTTAAATTTATATTTCTGACTTCTCTTGAAAATTTAGTGGATATAGAAATATGAATCTCCATTCTTGAATGATAGCAAATAGCTAAGAACATGTAGAAGCTGATCCCTCTGATGAGGGATATACTGTATGTACTGTGGTTGGCCACAGTACCCACCATTCCCTATTGCCTTACCCTTGGTTCAACTATAGTCATGCAAATTCCCCACTCACACTCCGCAGTTCTTTTGATTTTGTAGCCCCCTGTGAGAAAGTTAGGCAAAGAACTAGGAATCCCCAAGCAGGGGCATCTGGTAAGGCACCTATAATCTAGTAAGTAACTATGATGGCATGCATTTCTAGATAGATGGCTACAAGTGGTTTCTCCCCTTTGTATCCCCGGAGTTCTTCATTTCTCTTGTGGTGCTTTATGCACCATAAAGTTTAAAAGCACCATAGAGTTTTAAAGCTTTCACCACTCACCTGTTTTGTGACCTTGGGCAAGTTTCTTCACCTCTCTTGAGTTTGGGATTTTCTTATCTAAAAATGGTGCTAGTACTCCCTTCCTCATACTGTTGTCATGGATATTAATGAAGATAACATAATGTTTAGGACAGTGACCAGTGCTTACTACTCTATATTTGCACTCATACTATTGAAATGATGGGCCTAGTTTGCCTTCTCTAACAGGCTGAATTCCTCGAAAGCAGAAGACCTGCCTGTATGCCTGGTGTCCCCTAAAATCCCATACACAGAGGGACACTCAGTAGAAATTGATACTTCAATGAAAGAATCACTCATTGCTGTAAGCAACAGCATGCGTGTAACACCAAAGAGGATCTAAAAGTGCCCTGGGACTCCCAGAGAGGATGATGTGGCCTTGATTTGGAATCTGCCAGCTACTGGCCACCTCCAGTTGCTGAGGGAGCTGTCCAGCAGGCTATGTAATTTCTGGCAGCTGCTTACCTTTCCAACCTTCCTGGAGCCTTCTGTCCCCCTGTTCTCCACCCATCAGCAGCAGGCATGTTCAAGGAACAGAAAGAAGGCCAAGCCCTTGCTGTTTCATGGCCTTTGCACTTTCCCTCCCCCATGACTGGCCTTTTTTCATCATTGCTTCGCAAGTATCATGTCATTGAGCCTCAGAGTTCTGAAAGTCCAAATGCAGCAGCCCCACCCTCACAGTCTTCCCCCTGCCTCTGCCTGGTCACATCCATCATGACATCCTTCTGACTTTCTGATAGCCCTCCTCCAGATCTCTAGATGGTCTTTTCTTTGACATCAGTTACTAAGGTGATGTCTCTGCCATCCTCTGAACCATGAGCTCAAGCATGCAGGGATCTCTTCTGTCTGAACAACTGCTGGATCATAGTAGGGGTTTGGTGATAATAGAACATGAGGATCAATTCTTCATTGATCCATACATGCAAAAAAATTCATCAGGGAGAAATTCATCTAGTTGTGTAGTGAAGCTCAGGCCCTCAAGAAGCACAGCCCATGGGAAGGAAGGATTCTGCTTTCCCACACACCCAGGGTTGTGATCCACTCCATCCTGTCCTGCAGGTCCTAAGTGAAGAGAACTTCCGACAATGGGCCAGCTTCCGGAGTGAAGCTGAGGCGTCCCTTGACAACCGAGATGAGCTTCTAATGGAGACAGCACAGCATCTGGAGAACCAACTCACCTTACTCGGTAGCTAAAAATCAGTCATCATTAAATGAAAAAAAAAAAGGACTGTAGCACATGGGAGAGGAATTCTGACACTGTACAAAGATGTCTCCATTAGGAGCCCTCCCCGGGGTGCCTTTCCAGGCAGTTGCACATCCAGCGGTGCTGAAGTCAAACCCTGCTGCACACAGTTTCCTGTGGGCTCCCCAGAGCATCCAGGCTCTCCCTGCTGGGTTCCTTCTCCTCCATTCATTTAAGTGTCCATTGAGGACCTACTATGTGCCAAATAGCACATGTGCTGATGGATGCTCAGGCATGCCAGGCATGGGGCTGTCCCAGCCAGAGCTCAGAGTCCAAGGAGGAAAATGGCTGATGAAATAAGCAATTTCAACAGAGTGGGATGAGGGCTGGGCTGGAAGATGTACCCGGTGGGTAGAAACCCAACATAGAAGTGCCCACCTAGCCCAGGGCCAGGGGATTTAGGGAGGTGGGAGTTGACACGGCACTGGTCAGATAAAGGGGGAATGTTTGAGGCAGAGGGAGGGGCCCAAAGGAAGGCCTGGGGGGTGAGAAAGCCTGGACCAGCCAGAGACTTGAGGCCACTGTGGCCTCATCATAGAGAGGATGGAAGGAACGAGGGGAGGTGAGATGTCAGCAGGACCCAGATTAGTAAAGCCATGTGCACTCATGCATCAATTGATGACAGAGCCTTTCTGAGAAATGCACCAGTAAGCAGGTGATTGCTTCATTGTGTGAACATCACAGAGCATAATCACAAAGGCCTGGATGGCACGAACTCCTGCACACCCAGCCTAACTGGCACAGCCTACTGGGACCACTGTCATGTCTGTGGTCCGTTGTTGAAATGTCATTAAGTGATGCATGACAGTGACTCCTATGTTTGGAGAGGGGAGTGACAATGGGGACAGAGGAGCACTTTACCAATTACTCTAGTTGCTGCTGCACTTGGAGGGATACTCTGGGGACAGATGAGAAGCATAGAGGTCAGTTAAGATACAGGCTTGTATATTCTGTTGGAGGAGAAGCACAGCACGGGAGAAAGGGGCTTCATCAGATTATCAGGCACAAGAGCCAGGTAAGACCATGTGGGAGCAGCATGCCCTCCCTGGCTGTGTGGCAAATGCCCCTTTGGTCATTTTCCCCAAATTATGTTTATTGCAATAAAATAGGCTTACCTCTTTGCCTCTGCTCTGGGAGTTATAGGTCCAAACCTCTACAGGTTATGTGAATATACAGGGTATATATATTTTCATACCCTGCCCACCACCAGTGCCCCAAAAATCCTCTACCATGTTCCATTGGGCCCCTCCCCTCCCCCACTCTCACATACCACACTCTTCTTCTGGTTAACTCAGTTTTATAGTCAGGTGTTCAGAGTTTATTATTGGTTTGGTTCTGACTAACCCTTTATGATTTTTCTATATTCTACATATAAGTTAGACCACCCATTACTTGTCTTTCTCCTTTTGACTTCTTCACTTAGCATAATCCTCTAATGTTCCATCCATGCCATTGCAAATGGCAAGAGTTCATCCTTTTTCATAGCTGAGTAGTATTCCATTGTGTGTATTCATTTTTTTGCTCCATTCTTAAGGCTTTGGTCACTTAAGCTGTTCTCATAATTTAGCTATTGCAAAAGCCTCTTTGATGTTGGGAGACACTACTGACTTGGGGCCAGGGCCAAGTCTTGGCACTGAGGAGGCCTTGCTGTGTGCCCAGGGACATGTCTCCATGTCCTCTGAGCCTCAGTTCCTCTGAATACATCTACTCTTCCAAGCTACCAACCAGGTGGGGATGGGGGTGGTGAGAAACCCATGGGGACTATACAAACAGTAATACCTTTACATATAAAAGGAGCAACAAGATTTGGTGGGATGGGAGAGTTTTACTCCCCACCCCTTGGGCTTTAAGTATCCCAAATTTTGCCTCCAGGGGTCTCTGCCTGCTGCCTCACAGGCCCTCTGGAAAGCTGACCACAGGACCTATTTTGACAGGCACCAGAGGGTCAGAGAGTGCCATCTGCCACACAGGGCCACTGGCTGCCATCCCACCGGGGCCTGTGACCCTCCTCTCCTGCCTGGGTCTCTTGTTACGGGAGAGCACCCTCAGGGATGTGGGTGATAACTGCTCGCTCTGCATGCACATGGCAGGACCTGGCAGGGAAATGTATCCAACATCTCCGTTTTATTTTCTGTTTCACACAAAGAAATGTGTTTCTCCTCCTCTCTCCGTCACACTGCCTCCCTGTACTAGAAATCCACTTCTGTCTCACCTTGCAGGCTCACTGTGGAGGGAGCGATAAGGGTCCAGCTGCCACTTTTCCTGGGATTATTTACCTGCATGCGTTGGCCTGCAATACAAAACAGCACCTCTCAGGAGAGAGGGGTTCTTTTTCTTCCCTCAGGTGACGGGCTAGGAGAGAGCTGGGGCTGGGGCAAGATTTCATCTTGCTACCCAGAAACTGCCTTGCCATCCAAAGCCTGCAGTGTGTTCCCATGAAGTCCCTCCACTTTCAACAGTCTTTGCAACATGTGCCCAATGAGCCAGCGCATCGTCCCTCGGGATGATGAAAGGAAGTGACACATCTTGCTCCTGTCCCGGGGGCCGCGGGCAGCCATCAGTCTGTGGTCTGAAGGGACTCTCCATTTCAGTGAAGATTTTCTGTTGCTTAATCATTTAGCAACTATTTCCTTCTTGGGTTTTTATTCATCCAGTTGGTACAAAGTTGGAGATAGTTCAGAATATATGGAATCAGCATATTTAATTCCCTCTGAGAACAAGATCAGAAGCCATCATCCCCGGTGATTCTACTGCGAGCAGTTGTAGAACAGAGATGTCTGTCTCTCGCCTCCCTCACACCATCCCAGCCACAGCTTGGTCCCCGCTGCACTCCAGCCCAGCCAGCCCAGCCTCTAACTAGCCGTGAACCCTGAATGTCATCTGGCTTCCTCCAATTCATTATCTAGAATTATCTTCTTAAAATTCAGTTCTGTCACTCTCCAGCCACGTGTCCTTTAATAGCTTTCTCTGCTACCAAATAAATTCCAACCCCTCATGCCCTGACAAGACTCTGCAAGATTCAGCAGCTTATGTCCCCTGCTGGTCTCTCTGTCTCTCCATTCTGCCTCCCTGTCTATTCTTCCACTTGACCTCTGGACCCTCACACATGCTGGTCCCTCTACCTGGAATTCTCTTCCATCCCCACCTGTTGGCTTGTGTCTTCCAGGTCTGAGCTTATAGGACCCTGACCTCGCAGATGAAGTGTTGCTCTCCTGGTTACACTGACATGGCACCCGGGCCTCTGCCCTCTTAGGGCTCTGTTAAAATTGAGCCTCACAGTGCTAGGAGTATGGGCTCAGCGCTATCTAGTTCACCACGGTGACCTGGGTGTTCAGCACAGCACAGCACAGACATTTGATAATCATTACCTAGCCTGAGAGGGCTTTGGAGAAATTAAGCTGCTACTCCTTTGGAATAAACACAAGCCCTGGTGTCTCTGTCCACTCCAGGAGCCACTGGTATCGAAGATCGGCTGCAGGAAGGCGTTCCAGACACCATTGCTGCTCTGCGAGAGGCTGGAATCCAGCTCTGGGTCTTGACTGGAGATAAGCAGGAGACTGCGGTCAATATCGCCCATTCCTGCAGACTCTTATGTCAGACCGACACAGTTTACTCCATTAACACAGAAAACCAGGTGAGATCAAAGAAGGGCCAGATGTCAAGTGCACAGTGGGCCCCAGGACCCCAGGAGACAGACTGTGGGTGGGATTGGACACATGGGGAAGGCAGACCTGGCCCCGGTATCACTGAGCCTTGGCGCTCAGGGAACCCAAGAAGTCATCCATCCCACCTCATCCCCACCAATGGCTGCCTTTTCTGTTTATTTTTTTTTAAGATTTATTTATTTATTCATACAAGCACTGGGTACAGTCAGAAGTGCGGGAGGGTGAGACAATTCATCAGAGCCAGAGTGGGTTGCAGAACAGGCAGAAGGACCGAAGTACACTGCTGAGGGGAGCAGTGGGCGGCAGGAGAGGTCTGTCATGCCATGTGGGACCCTCACCCGGTGGCCGGGGATCGAACCGGTGCTGCAGAGGCAGCGGGCAACTTCGCAACGAGCTTCGCAACCCAGCGCTCAACTGCTGCGCCACCGGGGAGGCCCTGCCTATTCTGTTTACATCACATTCAGCAGTGGATAATAGAAAGCTTTCCTGAATGCAACATTCATCCCAATCACCCCATTTTACAGATGAGCTCACCAGGGCTGAGTCACTTGCCAGGGGTCTCCCTGGTAGTTGCTCATGGACAGAATTAAGTCTCAAACATTGTTCTCCTGCCTGACCTGTACCATCTGTGTTACACCACACTATTGGCTCATGAAACCTCTGTTGTTATTTCTTCTACTTTGGATAAACTCACCCATTGAAAAAGCTCTAATTAAATCAAAGTTCTTGTGCATCTAAAATCTCAGCTCCAGTTGGCCAGTGGGCTTGCCACAGTATAAGCCTGGTGGGTATGACATGTGAGACCAGTGTATTTTGATGGAATGAGAGAGAGAAGCAAAGTTCTAAAACTGCCATCATCAACCCAAAGAGGTTGTGAGCAGCAGGAATTGAGATTGGCAGAGAGAACTGGAACAGTCTGAAGAAGCATAGTCAAGGCAGTAACAGAATTTTCTGTTTAGGAGGGAGAATCTCGTTTCACAATGCAAACTGCAGCAAGTAAAGTCCCTGCATGTTTTTGGCAGATGAGCATAGGGGGAAGGCACTAGGATACAAGCTCCTAGAAGGAAGGAGATGGATGTGCTATGCCAAAGCAAGAAGCACTGCAGGGGAAGGGCACCTGCAGACACGGAGCATCCCCTGGGGAAGGGGAGGAGAAGAGGGTAGATGGAAAAGAAAAAGAACAGCACGGAAAAAGAAGCTGGGAGAATGCTGAATCTCTTTCAATTTGGCCTGAGGCCGATCTGGACCCAGAATAGAAATTTAGGAGGTTTAATTTTGCTTTCTATGTGACTCCACATGCACATTTTTTGTAAGTAGTGTCTACTATGCCAAGTGCCCAAGGCCCTTTTGATGACTAGAAAAATCATTTACTTTCTTGGCAGGTACACAGATGATGCTCTGATTAGATTAAACCCCAGTGAATTTTCAGAATGAAAATAATCTCAGGGAAATCTTTGATGGTAATATAATGCTCAGGAAAGAAAGTCCTTGGCAGCTCATTGGAGTGAGTGGTCCCTGTCGTGGGGGTGACATCTGCCTGCCCATGTGCAGTGGGCAGTGCCTTTGCGATGAGCCTTTCCTGCAGGTAATTCCAGAAAGGGGGAGGGCATTGCAAACCTGTGAGTCAGCCAGCCAGAGGGGTGTTTTTTAACCTGTAATGCCTTCCTGTAGGAAGCAGAAGAGGTTTGTGTGATTAATCAGCCAAAGTTCCTAAGGAGCAGGCCACACGCCATGTGAAGAGCAGTCACTTTCAGCTCTGTAAAGCTGTCTAGGGCCCTCCAAAATGCTACCAGACCCACTTAACCTGTAAGATTAGTCTTTCTTATTCCTTGGTCTGGGGAAAGTGGTGGGTGCAAAGAGCTGTTAAGACAGAGGCTGGGGAAATTCACCCTAAACCTCAGATTTATTTAAACCATAGGTTGTAATTACATATTCAGTGGACATTCCCTCTATGGGTTTTACTTTGCCTTATTCATTATAAATTGGCACAGGCTACTGTTTTATTGTTGCATATTTTATTTTTTTTTTTTTATTTTTTTTTTTTTAATAAATTTTATTGTTATATTCCCCATACAATTGCAGCCCCCCCATTCTGACCCCAATCCCTCCCCTCCCACCCCCGCCCCCCTAAAAGTGTCTCTGGTTCATAGTTTTTTGTTGATTTTGATTTTCACTTTCTTATAGTTATTCATTTTCCTGGTCCCTTATTTAAGTTTTCTAGATTCCTGCTATGAGTGAGACCATCCGGTATTTTTCTTTTTCTTTTTGGCTTATTTCGCTGAGCATGATCCCTTCCAGCGCCATCCATGTTGCTGCAAATTGCATGTGTTTATCTTTTTTGAATGCTGAGTAATATTCCATGGTATATATGTACCACATCTTCTTGATCCAGTCATCTATTTTTGGGCATTTGGGTTGTTTCCAAAGCTTAGCTATTGTAAACAGTGCTGCTATAAACATAGGGGTGCAGGTGCTCTTTGGAATTGATGTTTCTGTGTCCTTTGGGTAAATACCTAGGAGTGGAATTGCTGGATCATATGGAAGCTCTATGTTTAGTAGGTCCAGAAATCTCCATACAGCTTTCCACAGTGGTTGGACCAGTTTGCACTCCCACCAACAGTGCAGAAGAGTTCCTTTTTCTCCACACCCTCGCCAACATTTGTTGTTGCTAGTTTTTTTAATATGTGCCATTCTCACTGGTGTAAGATGGTATCTCATGGTAGTTTTGATTTGCATTTCCCTGATGACAAGTGATGTTGAACATTTTTTCATATGCCTGTTGGCCATTTGCATTTCCTCTTCAGAGAAGTTTCTTTTAAGCTCTTCTGCCCATTTTTTGACTGGATTATTTTCTTTGTTGTTGTTGAGTCTCATCAGCTCTTTGCAGATTTTTGTGATCAGTCCTTTATCATTAGTGTTGGGTGCAAAAATGTTCTCCCAGTTGGTGGGGTTTCTCTTTGTTTTTGTTATTGTCTCTTTTGCTGTGCAAAAGCTCTTTAATTTGATGTAGTCCCAGCTGTTTATCTTTGCCTTCACTATCACTGCTTTGGGTGATGTGTCTGTAAAGATGTCTTTGATGTGCAAATCACGTAGTGTTTCGCCTATATTTCCTTCTATATATTTTATGGTTGCAGGTCTTATGTCTAGTTCTTTAATCCATTTTGAGTTGATTTTTGTGTATGGTGTGAGGTGGTGGTCAAGCTTCATTCTTTTGCATGTAGCGACCCAGTTTTCCCAGCACCATTTATTGAACAAACTTTCTTTGCTCCAATGCATATTCTTTGCTCCTTTGTCAAAGATTAGTTGACCATAAATCTGTGGGTTTATTTCTGGATTTTCTATTCGATTCCATTGGTCTGTATGTCTGTTCTTGTTCCAATACCATGCAGTTTTGATGATTATGGCTTTGTAGTATAGTTTGAAGTCTGGGAGTCTGATGCCTCCATTCCCTTCTTTTTTTTTCAGGAGAGCTTTGGCTATTCGGGGTTTTTGGTGATTCCATATGAATTTCATCAATAATTGTTCTATTTCTTTGAAGAATGACATTGAAATTTTGATTGGAATAGCATTGAATCTGTATATTGCTTTTGGTAGGATGGCCATTTTAATAATGTTTATTCTTCCAATCCATGAGCAGGGGACGTCTCTCCATTTCTTTGTGTCTTCTTCTATTTCTTTTAACAGTGTTTTATAGTTTTCTTTGTATAGGTCCTTTACCTCTTTTGTTAGATTTATTCCCAAATATTTGATTTTTTTTGTTTCAATAACAAAAGGGATGGTCTTTTTGATTTCTTCTTCTTCAGATTTATTGTTTGTGTATAGGAAGGCTACTGACTTTTGCGTGTTGATTTTGTATCCTGCCACTTTACTGAACTGATTGATGAGTTGAATTAGCTTTTCTGTGGAGTTTTTGGGGTTCTCTATGTATAATATCATATCGTCTGCAAATAGTGATAGTTTGACTTCTTCTTTTCCTATTTGGATTCCTTGGATGTCTTTCTCTTGTCTTATTGCCCTGGCTAGGACTTCCAGTATTATATTGAAAAGCAATGGTGAGAGTGGACATCCTTGTCCTGTTCCAGATCTTAATGGAATTGCTTTCAGCTTTTCACCATTGAGAATGATACTGGCTGTTGGCTTGTCATAGATGGCCTTTATGATGTTGAGGTATGTTCCTTGTATCCCCAGAATTTCAAGGGCTTTTATCATGAATGGGTGTTGCACTTTGTCGAAAGCTTTCTCAGCATCTATTGATATTATCATATGGTTTTTATATTTCTTTTTGTTGATGTGTTGGATAACGTTGATTGATTTTCGGATGTTAAACCATCCTTGTGCCCCTGGAATGAATCCAACTTGGTCGTGGTGAATTATCTTATGGATACATTGTTGGATTCTGATAGCTAAAATTTTATTGAGGATTTTTGCATCAGTGTTCATTAGGGAGATTGGCCTGTAGTTTTCCTTTTTTGTGTTGTCCTTGTTCGGTTTTGGTATTAGTGTAATGTTGGCTTCATAAAACGTGTTTGGTATTGTCCCTTCCTTCTCAATTTTTTGGAAGAGTTTGTGAAGGATAGGCACTAATTCGTCTCTGAATGTTTGGTAGAATTCATTTGTAAATCCATCAGGTCCTGGGCTTTTGTTTTTGGGGAGGTTTTTATTACCATTTCAATTTCGCTAATTGTAATTGGTCTGTTTAGGTGTTCTATTTCTTCTTTATCTAGCTTTGGGTGATTGTAGAGTTGTAGGAATTTGTCCATCTCCTCTAGATTGTTAAACTTGTTTCCATATAACTGTTCATAGTAGTTACTGATTATTCTTTTGATTTCTGCTGTGTCCGTTGTGATTTCTCCTCTTTCATTGATGATCCTGTTTATTTGTGCTTTCTCCCTTTTTTCCTTTGTGAGCCTGGCTAGGGGTTTGTCTATTTTATTGATTTTTTCAAAAAACCAGCTCTTGGTTTCATTGA